ATTTAGCAAATCTGACTGGTAAAAATCTGACTTTTACTTCTTTACTTGATCTTGTGATTAAGAGTTGTGCAACAGTTTGATGTTGTGTGTTGTTTTATGAATGAGAAGGAACCCAGAGCTTCCAGAGAAAAAACACAGAAGTGGGGAGTATATGCAAGCGCGTCATCAATGTTCAAAAGTCAGTATTGATAAGTTATGGAGGTGCATTAGTGCACATGGCATCTTTATACATCTGTGGAGGCTCCATTATTGCTAAACAAAATCATGGACATCATAAAAGAGAGGAATGTGACTTTAAATGTGAGTTATGTTTTTGTTGGTAGAAAGTCAGTAAAAGTATCAAGTGTTTGGGTTTTTTTGTTTTGTTTTGTTTTTTATAGTCTATTTTGGGTGAATATGTCTTGGTAACCAATGAAGTGCCCAGAGCTGGTTCGAGATATTTGCCAAACTGTGAGGCTTGCACTTGAAGGACTTCAACAATATAGGTTTTCCGAGCAGCTTATTCTGCCAATTGTGTGGTTTCTTTTTCAGGAAAGGCCTAGGAAGATGATGTCATTCATTACAAAAACACAACTCCATTGCGGAGCAGGCTGAGTGCTGAACTGACCTGGACACAGCTCAGATCCATCACACATTAGAAACATTAAGAGCATTAAAGGGGAGGCCTAAACGGCAAATGTACATTTTGGTGGCATCAAAATAAAAATCATTGTTCCCATAAAATCCACTTGGACCTGTTTTTTTTTGGTCAGCTTGCTAGCAGTATAGAGTTTCTGCATTGAAATATCTGCGTAAGTATTTTGTTATACTAGTAATTTAGTAGACAAATTTTAAAAAATGAATCTGGAGAATATTATTTTCTATCCCAGCATATTTGGTTTTCCAAAACAGTTTTCTAATCTAGTTTTTATTTTTTATTTTTTGCATTTGATAATAACCGACTTTAACTAACTGCCAGTCGTAGTGCTGCCGTGCCCACACAGCTCACATGCTGCTGTCACCAGCTGGTTATCTCGTCTGTGCTAAAACTTCTGTTAGCTAGACCTCCTTCTGCAGTGGATGTCTGGATTCTGAGAAGCAGCTGACTCATCCTCGTGATTTCTAGTAATATATGTCATTATAATTGTCATATTTGCATTTGATTTCTTCTAACATTGTTGCTCCAGACACATAAATAGAATTTAACTGTACAGTACAGTATAAATATAAATATTGATTGTTTCAGGTCTGATTCTTCTGGCTCAGCATTAGCTTTCCGTGAGTCCTGTTTATTTGTTCCGAGAAAGTCAGTTGGTCCCAGTTTGATGAAACAAATTGGGCGTCTAATGTCTTTTGCTTGCTTTGTTGTTTATTGTCGCTGTCGACCTTTAGCTGGATTTTAAGTAGAAAGGCTCAAAGGGTTAACAGCAGTAACGCTCTAGGTCTCAGTGCAGTGTAGCTTTTGATTTTGTTGCTGATATAATCGCTGCCTTGCTGCTTGCACATTGCGATTGCGATCAGGCTGTGTTGGGCTCCTTTGGCGCTATTCCCAACAGTCGGCATGTTTTCAATCTTTTATTTACTCTGTGGTGCAGAGCTGCACTGAGCTACACACAAAGAGAAATGTGCAGTCGTTGTGTTAGGGCTCATTTATTCATAGAGAACAACAAACGGGCCGAGCAGGGGATTTGTGCTGCAGTTTCTTTGTCGGGTGTTTTGTTACTTAATGGGAGGTGACTGCTGAACAGTGTTTCTTTAGCTTCAAGGCCACTTAACCTTGAAGCCAAAGCTCAGAGCCACCAAAGCTACAGCCTAACCTCTTAGCACAGAAGAATAACTTCACCTGACTCAGCCGCTCACATATTAAGTGCTATAATCCTTAACTAGCTTCAGAACAAAGATACTAATTCAAATTGGAACATTAAAAGAGATTTGATGTACTTATATAGATGTACTTATATAACCCTTAATTAGGCTTAAATTGTGGTATGTTTAGGGTTATTATTATTATTTTCGCTTACAGAAATACTGAAGTTTATTCAGGCTTTTGAAAGTCTGCAATTTCCAAATTACAAGATTCACACTTTTAATGATAACTCGCACAGCTAATGTCTTAACAAGCTGGAGGAGAAAAAAAGTTCACTTAAAGTTTAGTCAACCAGTCATGTTCCTCGCAAATGTAGTCAACTGTAGCTAATTAACTGAAACGCTGCAAGCTTGCGAAAGTTTCTTTAGTCAGAAGTACCACTTTTGTTCCATTTTAATGACTGAAGAACACTTTGTGAAGTTGAGTGAAAGAACAGCAATTTGCACATAGTTATCAGATTTCAAGTGTCTTCAAACCGCGTCATGTGGTCTGGAATACAAAGATAGCGTTGCGGTAGAGAACAACTGGAAATCCTAATATCTGAGACACTGAAAACTTTTGTGAATTTTTTTGGCTTCAGATACGGTATAAACAATGAACCCATTATGTTAATGTTACAGATCTGATAAACACACTATTAAAACATTTACAGCCCGTGCAGCCGTAGGTCACACACCAATGAAAAAGTTTACCCATGTGATTTAAGCCAACCAAAACAGAAAACAAGGCAAACACTCAACCATAATCCAGCATTTGAACACACATTATCTTTTTTTCTTTGACATTTGAATGACAAGTTAAAAGTAAAATCAGCGACTAAAGCTAAAGATGCTTCGATCCAGCTTTTTTTCAGTTTCCCACCCAGTACCAGTTACATTGGCTTTTAGTATCTGAGAATGTGACGTGATGGTTTTAAATTGATGAACTGTAGTTCTCACTGTGAGGAAGGGACTGTGACTCATTCTTTTAGGACGTGCACTGAACCAGCGTCCTCCTCCCTTCTCCCTCAGTCTCTCTGACCGAGTGTAATGAGCGCAAAGTGTGACGGGAAAAACAACCATGATCTGATATCTTCATTCATGCCAACTCACTTTGGCCACAGCTCTGCCGTTTACCACTGATCCCTAACATAATTATTGTTAGTATTATCAGAGAGTATATGCGATTATACAGTAGATTCTACAAACGATTATCCATTTATAATGACATATTATAAAAAAACAGTACTTTTGGATACATGTGGTTAGAACAACTTATAATGATGTATAAATAAATATAACATCTTTTTATGAAGCTGAATCTGTGTATTAGATTGGCATATTTATTTATACCATATAAATATATTATAGGTTGCATAATCAAAACAGTTATATAAAATGAGATGGATAGTGTTTGGAATTAATTTGGAATTAATTGATTAACTTGGAGAGGGTAGTGATTAGATTATGTTTTTGTGAATATGATGGATTTATGATTTTTTTGTGTGTTATCACATATTATTTATGTGTGAATTGAAGATTTGACTGATTGAAAATGTAGTTTTTCCCCAAGTAATTTTATCTCCACCAAGTGCTGATTGATTAAACCCATAACAGTTGTATGCAAATCCTTTCAGCATTAACGGTATCATAAGGGATGAGTGCACACTTCAGCTATTCTGTTACAAATACCAATGTGACCCTTCACTTACGGGCACTTGAAACTATGTTGTAACATTTTACAAATGCCAGGATATGAGTCACTGAAACTGGAGCAATCTTGGAGTTGAGCATCCATCTGCTGTGTAGTGGCAGCTTGTTTCACTCTGCTGCCACTCGCATGTGCGCGCGCACATGCACTCGACCTGCATACACACAAGTAGTTTGACATAGAGGTCAAAGGTGAGAAAAATGAGTAAACAGAGCAGGCACTGTAGAGGATGCTGTCAACCCTTGACAACGCACACGAGCTCTCATACTCAGACACCGAATACGTTTCTTTGCGATCACACACTCTCCTAATTTGAGCCCAGATCATACGCTGTGCAGACTAGACTGCTAAACTGCCATGTACATGCTTTTATATATCTTTATCCCAGCATGCATTTCATGCACAATGCGAGCATCCAGTTTACTGCTCCAGGGCAGGTGTGGTTGGTATGCTTGCACTGAGTACAGTCATTTAAAAGTTCCTTTTTGGGGCTTATTGGGAACTTATTCTGAAGATATGAGCCAAAATATTACTTTTTTCAAATATCCCATAATGTGACTGTATAAACAGATACAGGTCCTCACAATTTGAGTAATCCCTGGACCACACACACACATTACTAACTCACTGAGTCATGTGTATCAGTAAGCCTGGGAGGGAAGAGCACCAGCTCTGAATGCCAAAGGGCTTTTTCTCCCTTTCAAATCTGTGTCAGTGTAGTGTGAACACAGGGGAGAGATGCCCGTAGGCTGGAATCGTTTCTTGCTGTGCAGCCTTGAGAGGTTTTGTCGGGACTTGTAAAGTCACGTGAGGTCACTCCTTGTTTTCTGTATGCTAGAGTCAGGCTGAAACCCTCCAAAATGCTTTAGGCTAATGATGAACAACATAGTAGTTTCTGTTCATTTGTGTCATTCAAGTTCAGCCCTCATGACAAAGCTTATTATCAAGTCAACATTTATGGTGTTTAGCATAAATTTCTTTTATCCAGCGAGACAGGATGGTGGCTCATGTCACAGATATTTTTCACAGATTTGTACTTTGTTTTTGTTTTTTAAAATTTGCCTAATTTGGACACATTTTTTGGAAATTATATCATTTGTGTTTCATATTTTATAGTTAACAGCATTGCATTTACACCACAATGTACACATGTATGCATCCAGAAATGCATACACTATTATATATTGTACATATATTTATTAGTTTCAGATGTAGCCATTCTTGTATTTTGCTTGTTTACATTATTGTATTTTGCACAACTCTGTTGCTTGTGAAGCTCGCACACAAGAATTTCACTCACATGTGCTGTACCAATGTACCTCCACATGTGATGTGACAATAAAAGTGATTTGATTTGATTTGATTTGATTTGACAAGGGTGACAAAAGCATCTTTAACCCAAAGCATCTTTCTTGGGCTACTGGTATCCTGGTATTTGATCGTCAAATCTTCCTCTTCCTCGCAGGCTTGACGATGGGTTGTGTCAGGAGTAAAGAGGACAAGGGCCCGGCTCTGAAGTACCGACCAGACAACTCAAATGCCACTCCGGCCAGCTCGCTCCTGGGCCACTATGGGCCCGAGCCTACAATGATGGGTCATTCACCTGCTATGAATGCTCACAACAACAGCTACAACAGTCATGCTGCTGGCCTCACACCCTTTGGCGGGACGTCTTCAGTCATGACACCCTTTGGCGGTGCCTCCACCTCCTTTACTTCAGTGGCTGTGAACAGTCCCTTTCCCAGTGTCATCTCAGGTTAGTTTGTGGTGAATCAACATATTCTGTATTCATAGATTTATGTATTAGAGAAGCTATAAATGAATGACTTGAACAGCTTTCCTTTCTATTGTGTGATGCACAAACTGTTGTACAACTTTAGAATAAACTCAGTTGATCATTTGTTATGCAGAGGACGTTATAAGCAGCAGATGTTATGCAAATGAGACATTTGAAACGAGTCAGCCAAAACATCATTGCTGAACAGAAACCCAAAATAGGTCTGTATTATGGGAAGCAATGCAGAGGCATGGCCTCTCCTGAGCCAAGAAAAACAATAACATGGACTGGATTGAGTGGCTTTAGTAAATGCAAATTGCATATTGAACGTTTTTATTTCCTACACTAGTTAGACTTAGAATGACTTTAGAATTAAGGGTGTGTCGGTCATAGAATGACTCTGAGTGGATTTATATTTAAATTATGCAGGAAATGTATGCAACAAAGCATAATGTTGCCTCCTAAAGCACGCACACATCCCTCATTCCCTTCATGGCTCTTTCACGATGCTGTGGCCTGAGGGGCTCCTATGCATCTAATACAGCCCTTTTAATTTTCTCTCCAAGATAAACATATCTGAGTCCCGTTGTCTCTCTGCACTCCATCATTTGTCAGTTCTTTTTATTGTGAATAAAAAATTAAATGACCTCCCTTTAATTTGAGGTGATGCCACTCAGTTTGAGAACGCTAGGAGGAATATTCTGCTTCCCTGATGAATTCTTAAAAATAAATCAGAGCTGAGAGAGCCAGGTGTATATGCAGACCACCTCTGGTGGTATAGCAAGGAAAATAAATATCTGAAACAATATTTCACCGTGTTCTGCCATATTTCCATCTTACCTTTGTATTAATCTGTAATTTAAGGCTGTAACAAAGAGCGATCAAAATGAGTGTGTGTTTAGAGGAATCAGGCGTTTAAATTTCTCTCACTTTCAGGTGGTGTAACGTTTTTTGTAGCGTTGTACGACTACGAAGCGAGGACGGCAGACGATCTGTCTTTCAAAAAAGGGGATCGCTTTCAGATTATCAACAACACGTGAGTATATTTGCTTTTTACACTGACAAAATGCTAGGCGGATTTGTGTGTGTGTGTTTAATCCTTCAGTGTATTCAGGTCTGATATTAAGGCCGAGATCTGTCTGGGTTAATGGGTTCCTTTAATGGGCCATCTGTTTACTGTCCATTGATTTTTCTCTTGCCAAAGAAAAACATGCAGTTAAATTTATGACATTATACCAAAAAAAGGATGCTTATTATTGGCGCTTTGATGATCACTGAAGGTCAAGCTCATTAGAGTATTGACAAACCAATTAGCTTTGTAAACCAATGCTCATTTACTTCTTTTGATTTTATTTTGTGGATTACTCAAGTCTTGAATTTGACAATTCAGTATCAGTCATGTTAGTTCTCATAGTGCTTTGTAAGGATATCATGATTTGGAAGGAGAAATATGTCACTCAATACCTGCTGCAGCAGCTTTACCTTGTACCCCACATGTGCTCAGGTGTGAAAATAGGCGGCGTGCCAAGTGCTCTGCTTTTCTTGTTTGTCACGTTCCACGTCCCATCCTACCACTGTGTGTGTCCACATTGCTTTTGCGGTGATGAAAATGCCATCTGCTTCTAGAGAAGAGGTGGGACGAGGACAGATTCTCTCTTCCTTCACTTTTAATTTAAGCTCCACATCTGCTGTTAAACACACTAGTAATTGTGGCTACTTGCTTATTTTAGCGTTCTAGAAAATTTTGATTCTTTTCCAATCAGTTTTACTTGTTTTTTTTTTTTTTTTTTTAAATAATAGAAAAAGCATATATAACATTATATAGGGCTTTGGAGTTTATATAACGGCCCAATGTATTGTGGGACTGCGGCGCCATATTTGCAGGTCACGAATCAAAACAAGCACACTGTGGTGGACGATTGCTAGAACCATGCTTAAAAGCAGCTCAAAAGAAAAGGGACGGGATAGAGACTGATTGCGTCCGGATGCGAAGAGACGATACTTGGAAAAAATAGAGTGCGTTGGTAATGTGGACACGTATGAAATATGGCTGTGGAGTAGAAACCCTGATGACCTACCGCCATTGCCCTACCCTGATACCTTCTCGTACCTTGTATGTCAGGGGTGGGCAACTCCAGGCCTCGAGGGCCGGTGTCCCTGCAGGCTTTGGATGTGTCCTTGAACCAACACAGCTGATTTAAATGGCTAAATTAGCTCATGCAGTTCTCCAGAGGCCTGGAAACGAACTAATCATGTGATTCAGGTGTGTTGACCCAAGGTGAGATCTAAAACCTGCAGGACACTGGCCCTCGGGGCCTGGAATTGCCCACCCCTGTTGTATGTGGAGTCGGTGCATACATGGCGAACCAGTTTCGGAATTATAAATCTCTGGAGGCACACATCCAATTTACAAGATTTCAGGGTTCAAGATTTGGCTGTTTTTAAGCCTCCGCGTTGTGAGTACGTTGTCATTCAAACAAAGGTAAGTCAACTTGAGTACTGCGAGTAAAACGCGATTGATTTCCCCCCTCCCTCCGTAGATTGTGCAGTTCATTAATAAATGTCTAATCTCCATATCATATTGTGTGTGTGCAATTATTGTCACTTAAAGTCAGGATTTGTTTCATCCATTTCATAGGCTGGTTTGCCTGCAATAACGCCAAATAATTAGCAAAACATAGATCCTCAAAATCACTCATTAGGATGTTTGTTCTATTACGCTATGACCTCAGAGCACATTGAAAATAAAACTAATAGGCTATAAAGAGCAATATGAACTTATATGAACTTACTGGAATGAAATGATGGAGCACACCAACAGATATCTGGGGATAATAGAGAACTGGATATCAGGTTGTCTCACTGCTGCTATCCAGGCTTGACGCCTTCGTTTGGTAACATCCGATACTTGAGATCCCACATGTTGCTTCCAGGAGGGGAAAGAATGAAAAGGTAGACCATTTTCAAGCTTATTCCCTTGCCGGTCATGCAATCTAACATTACAACCGACCACACAGCAAGTACGACCCATAGCTGATGTTATCCGTGTGCTTTCGCTCCGCTCAATTGTTAGCTTTTTGTTTGGCCTGCAAATATGGCGCCTCAACCAAAAATCCTGGCCACGCCCCCTCCCACAATGTCATGCTCCAAAGCCTTATAATGTTATTGAGGTGTAATTTAACTTTTCCTTAACAAATTACTTTCCCATTTTCTGCCAGTGACTTCCCTCAAAAAGTAGTTCAGTCAGGACCACTTCTGTTAGGACTCACAGGTCACACAGACCTGGAAACCAGTCCATCGCCTCCCACGGCAACCTCTGGTTGCTAAGGAAACTTGTGGTGATAGTGCAATTTCAAAAAGAACAATGCAAACTGGAAAAGATAAACGCTCACCATCAAAGTAAAAGCTGTGCCTCCCTTCTGAAACTTTGAAGTCAAACGGGCTCTGTTCCTGCTTTATGCCTCACGTTTCAGTTTCACTATCACTTGCCGAGTAGTTTGAGTGTTTGCAGACAAGTTGCAGTCTTCCATGAAAACTACTAGCGACCAGAGCAATTGCTAGAAAATTTTTGGTGCAGCACCACATTATCTCTTTGCGAACATTTTCACACTACCAGCCGCCATCAACCGGTCAGGAATACATTTGCAGCTTATGGTTAGCAGTTGGTTGCCGACCAATCTGGTCTGTGTAACTGGGGTTTTAATTAAGTAATGCATGCAAAGGAAGAGCTGGGTTAAGGGTGGGTTCCAAATGGGTTTGCATCAACAGCAGTAACTGTAGGTGATCTTGAGTTATTTAAATATTGCTTCCTGCTGAGGTTAGCTGTTATCAGCTGATCGCAAGCTGAGCTTGACTTCCTGTTTTGACTAAATGCTTAATATGTGGTCTTTGTGTCACATCACAAGTCTTTGTCAGTTGTTTGCAATTAAAATAAAGAAACTCAAACCCTTGAAATTTATTTTAAACATGTTTTTATCATCTGTACAAGTAATTTTTTTTCTTTTTTTACAAAAAAGCTAATTTTAGTCATCATTTATTAAATAATTTTGTATTCTTGATCTGTTCATTTAATACTATATATAATATATCAGTTATTTAGTTTCAGTTGATTTAAAAAAAAAAAAAAAAAAAAACTAAAAAAACACCAACAACATTCAGCATCTGAACTCCACCCACATTTTGATGACTCAGACTGCTGACGTCTTTGGATGATGTATAATCCTGCCTCTCTCTGTCTTTTTTCCCCCTTTGTATGCTTTCATACCAGCTCCCTTTCTTTTGGAATAGGATAGTTTTTTTTAAGTCACACTTTTGTGTTTGTATTATGTGGTTCTGATTTCTAATTTACTTCTCTCTTCAGGGAAGGCGACTGGTGGGAGGCGCGCTCCATCAACACAGGGCAGAAAGGTTATATCCCCAGTAACTATGTGGCTCCAGCAGACTCCATACAGGCTGAAGAGTAAGAACTCACACAATTGCCTTTCCAAACATAGTATCTTTGCCTCTCTCTGTCATCCAACAACTTTTATTTCCACGTCTCTTTTTTTTTTTTTTTCTTGTCCCTTCTTGTTATTTTCCCGTTCCTCACCCAACAGAGAGTCTAAACAATGAAGCCATGTATTGTCACAGGAGCCGATGGCGTTCTCTTTTCTGTTCTTCTTGTGTGACAGAAACATTGTGCTGCTTTTACACAGTTGTGGCCTAGTTTCTCTTTTAGCTGTTGGCCATTTTCACATTTTCACTTATGTTTGAGGTTTAAACTGCTCATTTAAATAAAAAAAAAAACTGGGTAAACCTGCCCAACTTTGCCTTTAGCATGAAAAATAACTTACTGTGACTGAGTTTGCAGGATTTTAGTATATGAAGCAAAAAAAAGAAAAAGAAAAAAAACTCATTTCTTTGATTGAACTTCGCAAAGTAAGCCTTACAAACAAGAAAATTTAGATTTTTGTTATTTACATCTGGGAGACAAGTGGAAAATAGAAAATATACCATGGAATGGCTGTTCCAGCAAATTCATCCCAGGGTCAGACCGTGCGATGTTCAGAGAAATTGCAAACAAAGCCCAGACACTGTATACACAAACAGAACAAGTATAGCTTGTTTAGAAGGGATGCCAGGTGAAGGAAAAAAATGGTGGCACTGTTTAGGTTTGCAAAGTTGCATCTGAACAAACCACATGACTTCTGTACCAATGTTCTTTAGAGCGGTGAGCTAAAGTAGAGATATTTGGCTAAAACGTCACGTTTGGTGAAAACCAAACACACCATATCAGAACAAACACACATCATACCAGCTGCAAGCACGGTGGTGGAGGCGTGATGATTTGAGCTTTTTTTGCGGTCACAGGACCTGAAGGGTTTTATTATAACACAAGATTAACCACACTGTGCATGTCCTCTGACTGGAGCCTTTTATTTTGCCGAGCCAGCTAATTCAAAAAAACCTCCTCTGTAGTAGACCCCTCAGTTCATCTTTTGGTCACTGAGTCAACCATGAATTCGTCTTTATATACCTAAATATTCTAGAGTCAGAAGCCATCTGTCCGACAGCTAAAGCTTGGCTGAAATTGGGTCGTGCAACAGAACAGTGATCCCAAGCACAGTAACAAATCTACAACTGAATGTTTGAAAATAAAAAGAATCAGGTTTGTAATGGCCCAGTCAAAGTCCAGACTTCAAGCTGATTGAGATGCAAACCTGAAGGAACGCTGTAAAGAAGAGTGGGGCAAAATTCCTCCACAATGAGGTGAGAGGCTGATAAAGTCGTACAGAAAATGAGTCCTTCGAGTTATTGCTGCTAAAGGTGGTTGTACCTTTTGACCTATTAAAGCATGGTATATGTTTTTTAAAGGATTGCAAAATCTTTTATAACTTTATTTTCACATGACTATAAATTGAAACATGCAAAACGCTTGTTGAAGCAAAGTTTTAAACAAGTGATTATTATTTTACCTTAAATTATATTTTATATTTTTTCCCCTGTCTTATTTTCAATGCAATAATGTTAACTCCACATATAAATACCTGTCAACTGGTTGATGTCAAATATATTGTCACATCACTACAAAACATATCCCTACTATATGAAGGAGAAAATGTAAATTGTGTGCAGTACATCACAGTGGGCTCTCCTCTTGTGACTGATTGTTTGACTTTATTTCTTTTGGCAGATGGTACTTTGGTAAAATGGGCCGCAAAGATGCAGAACGCCATTTATTGGTTCCAGGAAACCAGCGGGGAACTTTCTTGGCACGAGAGAGTGAGACGACTAAAGGTAGGATGATTTATAACAGACATAAAGATGGGCGTGGGTATAGAGACGTCACCCTTTCCCTTTAAACTTGAACTTTAGCATTATGACGATTTTCTTCTTTTGGACCAATAAGTGACTCTATTTGGACACAAGAGCAAAGTGTTAGCTTGCCCCGTCACATTTTCTAACAATTTATTTAGAAAGATGTTTCTATAGAGTGCTGGGGGCATCACAGGAACACAGATACCTGCTGATTCGTGGAATGAGTGTAGCATTTTTAAATACTGGATGATATTGAGATCCGGTGCTTCAAGTTCTCATTTGGTGGATTGAAATTTTTGGCACTTTTGTGTTTCATTTTCCTTCTCTAACTGGACACACTAGCAGCGTAGCTATACCAATGGCTGTAATGCTTTGTCACTTGACCCACCATTATCACTTTACTGTGTAGTTTACTGTAAAATAGAACCATAGATCTATCTGTATGTCTTTGTTCACCTTCCGACTTCATGAGATTTGTAGGCTCATCTGTGACTGTGGCTAAATATTTTTTTTATTTCTTATCGGTTTAGTTATTTTAGAGTGTTTATTTTCCCGAGCAACACATCTAAGTTCATTTCTGTGGATTGTTAAGGTGCGTACTCTCTGTCCATCCGTGACTGGGACGATGTAAAGGGAGACAACGTCAAACACTACAAGATCCGCAAGCTGGACAACGGCGGTTATTACATCACGACACGAGCGCAGTTTGAGTCATTACAGAAGCTGGTGAAACACTACACAGGTACGCTGCCCATCTTCTGCACACTCGGGCGTCTTATTTACGTGTGGAACGCATTTAGACAAAGTGCTGTTTATAACTGGACAGATTTATTTATTTATTTATTAATTTTTTTGTTCTTTCCTTTTTTCAGATGCATGTTTTATGAAGCCTAGTGGTGTTATTTGGGCAGATGTGATGTAAAAGTCACTGAGACCATAGAGACTTATTCTTTTGAAGGGTTTTAGCATTGCAAGTAGTCCCCTGCCTCCTACTCTGGCTCCATACAGTGTGTAGACCAGCAGATTCAGTGCTCACAGTGGGAAATGTATTATTCAGCTGCAGATCTATGTGTTGAATATGTATGCGTGTTACAGAGGCTTTTTTGCTATGGTGATTCTGAACTAGTCACAAGCAGCGCTTTCACCGACGCGGTCACAGCTCAGTAACTCGGTAACGAGGTTCTAAAAAAAAAAAAGTTTAACCCACTGGGACTTAAGCCAGAGGAGGCCATGAATACAAAAAATGTTTCACTTTTTAAAAAAAACTGTCTCATGTAGCTGAAATCTGCACAGTATTGATAAACAGTCATTCTAAAGGTCTCCTTTGGTATCTTAAAAGAAAGCGACTGCAGCGCATGGTGTGTAAACACATTCAGTACAAACTGTTTTTGCGAACTGCACAAATCCTGTTAAACTTGTAAGAAAATCTATTTTAAAAGAGAGTGTTTGTTAAAAGAGACTGCGTTTCTGGTTGTGTTGACCGCATTTTTCCACATAACTGATAGAAATCACTCGCTGCTGTGTGGGTTTTTTTTTTTTTTTTTTTTTTTTTTTAAAGAACTGTTACGGCTCAAAGCTCTGCAGCAGTGTAGCCTTTGATCTGGAGACAGAAAGTCAGGAACAAGTGAGAAAATCTTCACTGGATCTTAACTGCTCAGTGTTTGAATACAGGCTGGATTTCCACTCATTCCTCTGTTTTCCCCTATTTTGTGTGCAGAATTCCAGCAGGACATGATGTAGCGATTGCTGCTGCTGCCAAACAAAAAACAAAAACCCAGAACCTTGATCTTCTTGCCTTTTAGTGTAGTTGAAATCAAAATAAAACATGGGATACTATTATGGTGAAAATCAGATTATTTCTGGAGTGCATGTTGGAAATAAAGTTTTTCTGTGAGGTGTGGGGACGGGGATCAAATCTGTTGTGATTTGATTCTAGTTTGCTACCTGCTGGTGGCCAGGACTGCATGTGGATAAAGCACTCCGCATCAAAGCTCATTCACTCACTCACTCATTCCCCTTCTTTTTTTTTTTTTATGTACTTCTTCCTGTGTAGAACATGCGGATGGTCTGTGCTACAGGCTGACGACTGTGTGTCCCACAGTAAAGCCACAAACTCAGGGACTAGCTAAGGATGCCTGGGAAATCCCACGAGAGTCACTCCGGCTGGAGGTCAAACTGGGACAGGGCTGCTTTGGAGAAGTTTGGATGGGTAAGAGGCCACTAGAGCCATACTCAAGCACACAGTATGAATGATATTATTTATTGAAATCAGCCCTGCAGGCACAGAAACCAATGCTTCAATCTTTCATTGTGCTCACTCACACTAAAGAGTGACAAAGCAAAATTCATCTATATGCCCTCCAGATGTTATGTGACAATGATGGCTGTAGTTTTTGATTCCTGCACAATTGGTTGACAGCAAGGACGCTACTTTTATGTCTTTGTTAAATATGGAGATGGGGATTGAAAACAGCAGAGACTTCATAATAAAGAGACATGCTACTGAAAGAATCCTGAATGGAAGCTGTTGGTAGGAGTATAAACCCTTATTATAATCCTTATTGATGCACAAGTGCTTGAATAAGTGCCTGGAGGCATTTCAAGATGGCTGCTGTGTGGCAACGCTTGCTTCTAGAAGGACTACAGTAAACAGTACAGGGAGTGCAGAATTATTAGGCAAATGAGTATTTTGTCCACATCATCCTCTTCATGCATGTTGTCTTACTCCAAGCTGTATAGGCTCGAAAGCCTACTACCAATTAAGCATATTAGGTGATGTGCATCTCTGTAATGAGAAGGGGTGTGGTCTAATGACATCAACACCCTATATCAGGCGTGCATAATTATTAGGCAACTTCCTTTCCTTTGGCAAAATGGGTCAAAAGAAGGACTTGACAGGCTCAGAAAAGTCAAAAATAGTGAGATATCTTGCAGAGGGATGCAGCAGTCTCAAAATTGCAAAGCTTCTGAAGCGTGATCATCGAACAATCAAGCGTTTCATTCAAAATAGTCAACAGGGTCGCAAGAAGCGTGTGGAAAAACCAAGGTGCAAAATAACTGCCCATGAACTGAGAAAAGTCAAGCGTGCAGCTGCCAAGATGCCACTTGCCACCAGTTTGGCCATATTTCAGAGCTGCAACATCACTGGGGTGCCCAAAAGCACAAGGTGTGCAATACTCAGAGACATGGCCAAGGTAAGAAAGGCTGAAAGACGACCACCACTGAACAAGACACACAAGCTGAAACATCAAGACTGGGCCAAGAAATATCTCAAGACTGATTTTTCTAAGGTTTTATGGACTGATGAAATGAGAGTGAGTCTTGATGGGCCAGATGGATGGGCCTGTGGCTGGATTGGTAAAGGGCAGAGAGGTCCAGTCCGACTCAGACGCCAGCAAGGTGGAGGTGGAGTACTGGTTTGGGCTGGTATCATCAAAGATGAGCTTGTGGGGCCTTTTCGGGTTGAGGATGGAGTCAAGCTCAACTCCCAGTCCTACTGCCAGTTTCTGGAAGACACCTTCTTCAAGCAGTGGTACAGGAAGAAGTCTGCATCCTTCAAGAAAAACATGATTTTCATGCAGGACAATGCTCCATCACATGCGTCCAAGTACTCCACAGCATGGCTGGCAAGAAAGGGTATAAAAGAAGAAAAACTAATGACATGGCCTCCTTGTTCACCTGATCTGAACCCCATTGAGAACCTGTGGTCCATCATCAAATGTGAGATTTACAAGGAGGGAAAACAGTACACCTCTCTGAACAGTGTCTGGGAGGCTGTGGTTGCTGCTGCACGCAATGTTGATGGTGAACAGATCAAAACCACTGACAGAATCCATGGATGGCAGGCTTTTGAGTGTCCTTGCAAAGAAAGGTGGCTATATTGGTCGCTGATTTGTTTTTGTTTTGTTTTTGAATGTCAGAAATGTATATTTGTGAATGTGGAGATGTTATATTGGTTTCACTGGTAAAAATAAATAATTGAAATGGGTATATATTTGTTTTTTGTTAAGTTGCCTAATAATTATGCACAGTAATAGTCACCTGCACACACAGATATCCCCCTAAAATAGCTAAAACTAAAAACAAACTAAAAACTACTTCCAAAAACATTCAGCTTTGATATTAATGAGTTTTTTGGGTTCATTGAGAACATGGTTGTTGTTCAATAATAAAATTATTCCTCAGAATTTGCTGTTTGAGGACGAGGTGATGAAGCAGAGCTGTAAACATGACCACGATGAGCCGCGGCGTTTCGAAAAAGTCTTAAAAATTTGATATGTTGTCTTTGTGTCCTTTTCAATTAAATATGGGATTTGATTTGTGGGTCATTGCATTCTGTTTTCTGCACTTTCATATTAATGAAATTATTAACAGGGTTGTAGATGGCGATGTTAAGGGATACATTGCGATAAACCAGTGGCCTCCGTGCGTTCGAGCAGTACTTCCGATGTTAACAACTTGCAGACATAAATCCCCGCTGTAGTCCAGGTGTTTGACACAAACACTTATGAATTAGTGAAGAACAGGAACAACTTTGTGGACGTAAACACACACAGTCATTAGGGCCTACAAACATGCCCAATGTGCATGATTTATATGCGCATGAATATGAAACTTATGTAGAGTTAATGTGAAAAACAAATGACACTGATTTATGTTAGTGTTTTAACGTCAGGAGTGGGCCTGTTTTGCTGCCTCACCGGCACACGTACTGATGTCAGAGCTGATTACAGATTCCTGTGGGTTTTCATAGACACACACACACACACACACACACACACACACACACACACACACACACACACACACACACACACACAGCTCCAGTAATCACAGGTCACTTCCTACGCTTCTTTTCACTGGCCTGCTTGTGAGACGGGGGCCTCTGAGTGAACACGACTCTCTTCTTTCATCGTTGAGTCTTTAATTAAGCCTGCCCTGCAGCAAGCCTCGACCTGCAAGCCTCCACTGAGCAATCCCAGGAATCCCTCTCTGTCACTCACTGTTTCGTGGTTTCGTGATGGTTTTCTGCTCAGCTGCAGTTCGTGCTGCTCGTGTGTTTTTGTTTTTTTAGATGATGTTCTCTATGCACTCCCCACCTCACGTTATTACTTATAGATCTTATCATTGTCTTACTTTGTCCTTCAGCTTGCGTGCATGCACGCAGAGTTTGTTCGCTATGATTCATTCATGAAGCTCAGCCCTCTAACGAAAGCAGTAGATCTCCTGCCTTGGCTTATTGTATGTAAGCAGGGCGTGAGTAAGTGGCTCTCAATCAGGAAGTGGCCGATTATTTCAGCTGCCATGTTCTCTCCATACATGGGAGCCCTGCCAGAGGTCCAAGTGATTTTAGGATTGACTTTTTAATCACGTCAAAGGGTTAGAAAATGGGCCTTTTAGTCTTTTAATGAATTGGAAGTGTATTTCCTCTGTATCTTTCAAGCAAAGTATTTACTTTTGCAAAGTAAATAAGTGATCATTCACATTTTGTTTCATATATATTCAGGCACATGGAACGGTACGACTAAGGTGGCGATCAAGACCCTGAAGCCGGGCACCATGTCTCCAGAGGCTTTCCTGCAGGAGGCTCAGATCATGAAGAAACTGAGGCATGACAAACTGGTACCTCTCTATGCCGTGGTGTCTGAGGAGCCCATATACATTGTTACTGAGTTTATGGGCAAAGGTAAGAACTGTTCAGTTTCCAAACCAGAAGTTATGACGATGCACACAAAGAATGTATATCTTAAATTTATTTGTATAGCCCAGTATAACACAGAGGTTCCAAAGAGATTCACAGGAACTAAAGCATATGAACCCATATGAAAACAGACATTTAAATAAACAAACAGTCCATCAGAAATAAACACAAATAAACACACAAATCGTGTTTGGTTTTAGAGCCAAGAAATGAAGAAATGAAATTTAGTCTTAAAGCATTTGCAGTCATTCATATGTTAAACACAGTGCTAAAAAGCTCATTAAATCAGTGTCGCCTGGCTCTACAGATAGCTGTGTATCGACTGCACAACTATGCTAACAAATGTTTTGCTGTTTGGTGACGTTTCCAAGTGGCAGCATGTATAAGGAGAAAAATAATGGATCAAGACAACTGCCCTGTGGAACGCCATAGAAGTCATGAGTGGTTGATCTCCGTAGATGATGATGAATTTTCTGTTAGTGATAATATAATATGATCTAAAACATTCAAGTATATTATAAAAGAGTCGTGCTGTGACTCATTTTTTTTTTCATCCATAAACTGTTTAGGAACAGCCAGCCAAACGTGCCCATACTGTTTGCAGTGACGTCTCTTTGGGGCTTGTAGTTAAAATAACACTAAAAATCAAAAGACAATCACTTTGAATCAACTTCAGATGTGTGCTTCATTTGGCATGAAATAACAGGAGAGCTCGCCTCACCTGGCCACGAAACTGCTCCTCAGTCAGTTGTCTGAAAATGGAGACTGTGTATAAAAAATGGCTATAATACCCAAACACTTCATGCATTCATTTTTGTAAAACCTCTGAATTAAAGCTGAAAAATCTTCCCTTCAAGCACAAATTGATTTGTTTATTTGGATTTAAATCCACTGTGGTGGCATAGAGAGTCAGAGCGGCAAGAAAATGTATGTTTATGCAGAGCTTGTTTGAGTGCAGCTTTGAGATAAATACATTTTTTTTCCACTCCAAGAGTGAGGCAGGAAGTCTGACATATCTTGTGTAAACCTTAGAAGTGAAAATATCGACAGACCTTTCAAAGAATAAAAAAAAAACTGACGTCCTCTTGGAATAATAATTTGTGTCTGTCAATTTTTCTATTAGAGTGTTTCTATAAAAGATCTTCTGTTTATCTTTTAACCTCAGAAAAGTAAATGCAAATTATTTCAGAGCTTATATAATGTTATCCCTGGCCTCAGAGCTCTTTTTAGAGCTGTCACACAGATTATACTTAAGCCAAGCGATCAATAGCCACTCCTTTCACTCTGATTGATTGATTTATTTTTTGAGCAGATGTTAAACAAGAGCAGCAAAAAGGTAAAATTTGAACTCATTAACTGGTACAGAACTGTGATTAGAACAGCCAGATAGTTCCATCAACATTTAATAAGTATTTCATTCTTAATCTGACCCCATTAAACACACACAAACCTTCCAGTCAACAACTTGCTCACCCCTGCACCACTGGATCCCCCGCAGTCCAGCAGCCTTTAAAAACACATCACAGTTCATTTGAAGGGTTGTATTCACTTTTTAACAGTCGCGGTGCCTCCAGGTTATTTCTGTTTCTGTTTATTTTGGTGTTGTCTTTATACACGTTGCAGACGGATGTATTGATTCTCTTGACAGTAGTCTTCTAAACTCTGGCAGGTAGTTTACTGGACTTTCTGAAGGAGGGAGATGGAAAGTATCTGAAGCTTCCCCAGCTAGTGGACATGGCTTCACAGGTAGGATAAAAACTCAGTGTTTAAATGCTAACACAGGTGCAGCAGCTCCCCGTGTCTCTTCCCTGCCCGGCTGCTCTTTTAACTCTGACTGAGGGGAAAGATTATCATACATCAGCAATGCAGCGGAGAAAGCTCCACGCGGGCTTCTTTCCAGCCGTGTGTGTAGGTGTGCATGAGTCAAATATTCACGCCCTGTGAATACTGGTTTCGGTTTGTTCTCCATCTGGCTGGCATAATTTATTTAAAATCTACCCTTCCCCTCTCTGCCGCTTCCTGTGCAACAATGTGCGCCTCCTCTCCCCCTCCGACAGCTCTTCACCGCTGCGTGTGCCTCCCCTCGTTGTCCCCCACTTAACTGCCTGTAGCACTTAAACGCTGCTCACCAGAGGCCATTTAAGCTCGCTGGTTCAGTCACCTACTGTGATCTGCTCTTAATTTGCCTCTTCACGCTCACAGGCTCCCTCTCCACTCTGCAGAGTAGTAATTTTTCTTTTCCTTTTTTTGGGGGGGAATTAAAACTGAAACAGGCTGAAACCCAGAGACGCCTCAGAGGGAGTTTACAACAAGTGTGAGAATGGTGTCGAATGGCTGTGTTCAGGATATTTATCCAGATGCTGTTGGTGTCATTGTTACAGGTGTAGAGTGCCTTGTTTGAGTTTTGTCTTCGTGTATTCTTGACACCTAAATGCAGCTATGTTTATTTGATCTATAATTGAAAATAAAACGTCCTTTTTTCATGCTCGCACTTTTGCTTTCTGAAGCTGTTAGAATAACACCATTACGTCCTGTCCAATCCAACTTAATCCCAGATTGCAGACGGCATGGCCTTCATTGAGAGGATGAACTACATCCACAGGGACCTGAGAGCTGCCAACATTCTGGTCGCTGATAACCTGGTGTGTAAGATCGCTGACTTCGGCCTGGCTCGGCTCATCGAGGACAACGAGTACACCGCCAGACAAGGTGTGTGACAGGGAGCGGATGCAGTTGGACGCATGTTTGTCTGCACTGACTATAAATAGAGAACATGTTGATACTGGGCCTCTCAGTGCCTGCTCTGATCTATTTAGTTATGACTGCTGCTTAATACAGGACTTGGAGCTTAAATAAATTGAGTTGAACCTGAAAATGTCACAGCAGATTTTGATATTAGCTATAATTAAAAATGCAATTTGCAGGCCCGCTACATGAACCATGATTTTGTTCATTTAGGCTACACATGCTTACATTTTTTTGAGCTGAAGGGTGGTTCAAAAAATCAGTTAACGTTTCTAATCAGTTGACCGATTTGGCATCCTGATGTGAGGATGTGCTGCTTTTTCACAGTTTCTAACATTTGAAAAGTTTAAATTATTGATTTACCAACTGAGGAATATTCAGCAGTCTTATTGATGTTTTCTTTGCCCATGCTTGACTCGCCTCGCTGTTTCCTTTTCTTTTTTGCCAGGTGCTAAATTCCCCATCAAGTGGACGGCACCTGAAGCTGCCTTGTATGGACGCTTTACCATTAAATCAGACGTCTGGTCGTTCGGTATCCTGCTGACTGAACTTGTGACCAAGGGCAGAGTACCATATCCAGGTAAAGACAGCACACGCAGATACATGTAATGCACTTTTAATTTTTGCTGTAGATGCTTTTGGCCCCTCCTCCTTTGTTCAGCTGAATGGAGTTCTCGTGATGGTTTGCCCCAGGAGACAGTTTTGCGTCATGATTATTTTCCAGCACGCTATTGTCATCCTCAGTCATCTGGGGCTTTTTCACCCTGTGAATTAGAATAGAAATCCACACATGTGATCTGATATGAGTCATCTCAGGTGTTTAGTGACTTGTCAGTCACTGGCAAAGTACCCTTGCATGTGTGATCCCCCTTCTTATCCCTTTCTTCCACCTCGTTTCTGCCCCCTGCTGTATGAGATCAGTACTGCAGTGTGTGCCTTGAACTGTGTTAAACTGACAGTGATTACAGAGCATGCCATATGGACGACTTAACGATGTCTTGTAGAGGTCCATCTGGCTCCAGTGGCCTTCTTGGTTTCAGTGCAAATCATTCCTCTAATTATTTCACCCCAGAGCTGCAGATTCAGGGGGTTGAACCCACTTATTTGCATTTTTTTAAACCATAAAGTGTCTAACTGTACATGTATGGTCTGCTCTTCTTATTTGAATTCGATGCTAGACAGTGCAGATGTATTTGGATGCAGTTAGACCAAGTGTCTGGACCGTGATGTGTCATTTCTTTTCCATTTTATATCAAGTGTGTGTGTATAGGTATCTACTGTTACCCGAATAGGCAGACATGATGTTAGAGCTGAGGTTTTAACATGCGAGATGTAAATCATTCTACCACCTCAGCAGCCGACATATTGCTGCCACCACATCCTGGTCTCAGCAGCTGCTCGGGGCTTTTCCTCTCCTCTCCGACTGTGAGATAATCTGATCCCCACTCTCCCACAGAGAGATGGAGGGGGGAGGATGCGGCTATGCTGTGACCATGCCGCTGACTCTGTGTCATAACCTCTTTTAGCTGCAGTTGAGCTCCCCACGGAGCTGTTTCTGTGCTGTGTCACAGAGTTCATGATCACGATCTTCCTGTCTTGGGAAGAAATCTGTGACACTGGGACGCGGAGCTGGAGCAGTTCTGTTTGTTTTCTTGTTGTTCAGTTTTACGAGTAAACCAGTAAACTGGAGGAAGCTACGCAGACTTCTCTGTGAGAGCGCTGGAGCACCTGTATCGGTTTATTTCTGCTAACAGTCTTATCTCCCTGTATGTGTTTTAAAATTGACTAAAAGTCTTAACAGGAAATAATGAGTGAACTTCCAACTGGGTCATTGAGGTTTTTTTCCCCCCGTACCACAGTGGTCTGCGTGGGCATTTAATCCTGCTGTCAGCTGTATGACAGCAGCGCTTTCTACAGTCAGGCTGCACACTGAGCTATTTCCTAATCAAAAGTTGTACTAGTTTTCTTGACCAGAAAACTTTGGAAGACTCCTTCTGTTATATGGTTTTTCAAATAACCACAGAGAGAAGTCATATTGATGTGGAAGTCAAACTATATTAGTTGATTTTGTGTGTGTGTGTGTGTGTGTGTGTGTGTGTGTGTGTGTGTGTGCGCACCCAGTCTTGGCTGGATATTTTCCAAAAGACACAACTTTCAGATACTATAGAATTTTTATTTATTTATTTATTTAGTAGCTAATAGCTCTAATGCCTGGCAATCTGTTTTTGGCCATTCAACTAAAGAGATTGAGAAGATTAATTTATTTTCTGCCAGTCTGTTTGTAACAAAGTGCCTTAAACATACAATTTAAATGTAACTGCAATCAATTGGTCCAGTATGTGTAGCCTCAACATTGGTTCATCCCTTGAGCTCGGTGCCTTTTTGTGCTTGAATGCTTCAAAGGCAAAAATAAATGAATACATCCGTACAAGGACTAGAGTGAAAATTAGTGGAAAAGCTGCTAATGTCCAAAGAAAAACTTTGAGAGATCTTCAGAAATTCTGAAGATGTATTTCTCATGACCATAATAAATAAAATAAATTATATAAAAAATGTCTAGAGTTATATTAAACCACCAATTTATGAAATTTTATTCCCATCCATCAGAGTGCACAGCTTCACTCGGCACATAGGTTAAATGGTGCGATAATCTCCCTTTTTGTGTGTCTATAGTGTAAATTTCCACGATTACAATCCCACTGCCTTACTTAGATCAAATAAATGAATAGATGTATGAAGTACCTTTGTAATGAATGTTTGGATAACCTGACTATATAATGGCTGTCCATTTATATTGTATTTCTTGTCCTTTTTTTTCCTTTAAGGCATGGTGAATCGAGAGGTACTCGAGCAGGTAGAGCGAGGTTACCGCATGCCCTGCCCACAGGGCTGCCCCGATTCACTGCACGAGATGATGAAGCAGTGCTGGAAGAAGGAGCCAGATGAAAGGCCGACCTTCGAGTACATCCAGTCCTTTTTAGAAGACTACTTCACAGCCACAGAGCCACAGTATCAGCCAGGAGACAACCTCTAGTCGGGAGGATCTGGGACTAACTCTGGCAAACCGCGGTACATCGGCAGAGATCAAAATCCAGGAAAACCAACGTTTCTGCTGAAGCTGCAGAAAATACTTTTTTTTTTTTTTTTACAAACTTTTCCAAACTGACATACCCGATGTAGAGGAAGTAGAGGTTTGTCCCTTATGTACCTGGGGGGCCAAATATGTGGGGAAATGTCCAAGCGGGTTGAACTCTGAGAACTGTGCATATCACAATAATCCATATAGGCTGGCCACAACACTGTGATCCAAATTTTCAAATGAATGGTTACTCGCGGATGCATTTTTTTAATGAACGTTTTTTTAAATGAGAAGTTCCCCTACCCTTCCTCCAATCCACCATCTTTTTTAAATTAAATTTAACAACAAAAAGTCTTTGATATTCGAGTGAGAGCTTTTATATGTATATGAGTTTGGTATGAATATGTAGGTTGATAAGAACAGACTGCTGACAAATCAAAGGAAAAACAAACGGCGACTCAGTGGGCACAAAAGGAGCAAAGGATTCGAGTATTTCCTTTAATTTGTCAGCCATATGTATGTAGTGGGCGCCCAATTACTGTGTGAGATGTTACGTATGTGCTCTGACTGTAAAGTGTGGAGCATTATGAGGTGGAATAAATGGAGGAGGAAAAACGGTGGTATCGTATGGATGCAAGAATGTACTGAGAGATGACCGCAGATGTACATACAGTATGTATAAAAAGTGTATTTGAGCAGGTGTGACGAGGTGGAAGAAGCAGGAATAACAAGTGTTTTTTAACAGGGTTGTTTGAATCTCAAAATGAAATTTTCTTCTTTTTTTGTCATTTAATCTGGGACTTGAAATCATAAAGAGGTATTTTGCTAATTTACAAGTGCAAACAGTTTTTCCTGATTAACGTTTTGTATAAGAAAAGATTAGACAGTTCAGCTGTGAAATTTAATTAAGATTGTCTTCATCTTTCTATAAGATTTGCTTCTTGTCTTTCTTTCCCTGTTGTACAGCTCTGATTGCTACAGAAGATTCTTGTAGATTTCTCTTCATTATTGCACACATCTACACAGTCGAATTTTGCAGCGCCGTGACTGACGGTGCAGGAGTCGCCATACGTGGGACTGTGTGCAGATCGACACTGTCCTCATTTCAGATTTTGCTGGAGGGAAAAGCTTTATCCAAAGCTACAACCTCAATCAAGTATTCTCATAGGTTTGAAATGCAACTATGCAAAGCCGTGCGTGTGGTGATGTTTAATGAAGCATCTCCAGTGGTATTTGCATGTGAGCAGCTCCGCTCTCCTATGATTTTCATAGTTCAGTTCCCGGCGGTACAGATGATGTATCACTTCGTGTGCGAGTTAAATAGAAACAGACAGACAAAACAAACACCTGGCACACACTGTGTTCCAGACAGGGCTTTAGTGCTTTTACAGATCAAAATCTAATAAGAAATTCTTAGAAATGCTTCCATTCTCTGTCCAGGTGTGTGTGATGGGGAAATTTGGGAGTATGAAAGCTACAAAGATGTGAACTTTTTGTTGTTGTTGTTGTTGTTGTAATTCTTTCTGTTCATCACTCAAAGAACATGTGTGATTGTTCTTAAACATAAAGACATGGGGACTTGAACTAGTAGGGACATGAATAATGAAATGAATGAGAAAAGTTACTAATAATGATTTTTGTACAGGAAAAAAAATAAAAGGTTTACTCAAAGGTTACTTTTACTACTTGTGTTCTTGACGAGTTGCAGTGATCTTCTTGAAGAGTCGGACCCAAGACGTCCAGATGTTTTCTTAAACGTGGCTATTTTTAAAAATTCATTTAAATTTATGCTTCTTTTTACTTTACTGAATACTGATGCTTTCTGACTTTGATTTGACATTTGTAGATTTCAACAAGATGATGGCTACAATACAAACATGCTCGAGTTGTATTCACTGTTGCACACTGCAGTATTACTCATCTTCAAACCTGTAAAGAAGCAGAGAAAGCAATACCTAAATGATCTCCACCGTCGTTGTAAAACTGATGAATATTGCATCAATATTTCAGAAAGATTCAGCCTTGCTATCTAATGACATTTCTGCCTTTTTCTTTAAAAAAAAAAAAAAAAAAAGGACAAGTGATACTGACAAAAGCATGGGTGAAGGGTTCAGTCATTCTGGCTCTCACCTGACCATCTCCTTGTACTTCTCCAGAGCCTCTCGAGCCACATACTGAATGAAGGCTGGGTCCTGCAGCTCCAGCTCGCTGGGAACGGTGAGGGTAAGCGGAGGAGAGTTTAGGATGCTTACCTCCACCTTGGTCTCACGAACAGCCTCATTCTGTTCATTGTGGCTCTCTGGCGCCACCTGGAGAGTGGAAGAAGTCATTTTACATCAAGCACTCCTTTGCAGTGGCATATACAATAAATATTCCACTTTTACGATCAGATTTAAAATTTTCCTTTTTGCTAAAGCTTAAAGTTCGGGCTGGATCAGATGACTGAACCATTCCTATGTTACACTGCTATAGGTGAGTGCTGCTGGGGAGGGGCTTCCCGTGATGCACTGAGCATTTCTTCTTCACTCGTCTCTTTTCACTCTGTGCATTTATTCTCCACTGCTGTGTTTAATCATTAGCAATTAAACTCTGGCTCTCTTCTATATTTTATCTTTTGTCCTATTTTCCTTCCCTCACCCAACCAGGCATAGCAGATGGTCGCTCCTCCCTGAGTCTGGTTGTGCCAAAGGTCTCTTCCTGTTGAAAGGGAGGTTTTTTTTCCCCCATTGTCACCAAGTATTTCTACTATTTTATAAATGTTTGCGATTTAAATTCAGTTTATTGAAGATTTAAGAGTTCCATGACAAAAGCTCTGTGGATATGCCTCCATTTAAATTTCTCTTTAAGAAAACATATCTGCTGTTTTTATTTCATATTTCATCATAGCTTTGCCACCTCTTCCACCATCCCTCCTCACCTTGGTGATGTGGAAGATATTTTGTGAAGCGCTGCTGTTGCTCACAGCCTGAGCCACCCAGCTGTATACAGCCGACATGTTGCTGAGCCAACTGACTGTTTCATCAGTGTGGTGCTGGACAATAGACAAGATCTCATCAAACTGCTCTTTGGAGATTTCCAGCAGCTGAGAAACGTCATCCAACTCCACGTGCAGTTCCCGAACACTGGGACACTCTGGAGCCAAGAAGAAGATAAAGTTTTAAGTTTCAAAATGTCAGCTCGAATAAACGTCCAGGTTGAGGCTGGTGGTTGCTCACCTGTGAGCAGAGCTCCCTGGCAGTTCTCACACTCGCTCTGTAGCTGCCAGCACTCTGATGTCTGTCTGCGGAGGGCTCTGCACAGCTTCCTGTTCTGCAGGAAGCGAGGAAGACTTTCCCTCTCTACAACAGAATTTTTTATTTATTTTTTAGTTTGCTAACACTTTATGGAACAGCTAAGAATAATAAAACTCAGTCTGTACAGTTAACTTACAAATAAGAAAATGCACTGAAATTTGTTCAATTACATTTAAAATGATTTCAACTCAGTAGTTCCAAACCATGTGACACTGGGAGCAAGGAATCTGCATATTTTAATTCCAACCAATTCCAGCAGCAGCTCTATAAATTTACAGATGGAACCAGAGAAATCTGCAGCTGTTATCATTTTTTGTATATTTGGCACACGCTCACTGGCACACGTGAGGCAAACTGCTCGGCTTAATCATTACCTTTCTTCTTCTCCTCCTCCACTGTCTTGTGGATATCATCAAACACCTGGGTCACCACAGCTCCAAACTCATCCACCACACTTTTAGCAAAGTCAAAGAAGGATTCCAGTACTTCCTCTAGTCCCACACCCTGCAGGAAGCCCGAGTCCCGGGCAGGGTCGTAGGGATCAGAGGTGGTTTCTTCCATCAGGATATCGGTGTTGTTCAGAAAGGCTCTCTGAAGAGCTTTGTCAAGCCTGCTGCTCAGCTTAGAGACCAGGGTGACGCTACGGTTCACCAGCATTCCCACTTTATTGACCAGTCGGTTGAAGGAGTCTTCCATCTGGACGATCTCTGTGTCTGTGTTGTTATCCTGGTTTACCAGAATGTCCCCTGCTTCCAAGTTGGTCTCACGGGGACCAAAGCGCCGGGAAACTCTTTTAAAAAAGTTTTCTACCTACAAAACAGAAGTGATGGAAATTGATGCATTTCACAGAATAGAATAGAACAACTGTGATTTCAGGATTGGGAGATAATTCAAAAACATCCCGTTTTAGCTGAATTTAGCATCTACTACTCAAACATCAGGATTTATTTTGAGGTATTGTTTTATTGTTAATATACAAAACAAAAACGCTATTATAACAAATACACAATGAAAAAAATTAATTAATGATAATAAATTAATAAAATAATATTTCAGTTTTTGTCTCAGTATGTATCTATTTTTAAAATGGATTTGCACTCAATTTTTATGACTCCCATTACTGACTAATTTATTCAAGCGACTTCAGACAAAGTTATTCAATGCATTGTTATGAAAATACAACAGTCTGTCAGTGGGAGAAGATTGCGCCAACTGTACAACTGTCATTTTTCAACTGAGAACATGTAACTTTATTTCTAGCAGCATTATTTGAAGGGCATGAAAGTCTGCATACCTTAGTATGGAAAGAAGCAAAGCCCCTGCGGCAGGTGGAGGTATAGAAGTTTTTACATGCATCCTCCAGACAGGGTCTGCAGTCCTCCCACTCAGTCTGCAGGGAGTCTTTGCACTGCTCCTCTGCCTCTTTTAGCTTCTCAGTCACCTCCTTGGCTAGTTCTGCTGCCCCCTGGTGGTCAAAATAGGATTCTTTAATATGTTTTCATCATTGACTTGAATCTTTTATTTTCTTTTGCAGGAAATCAAACGTGGATCCAACCTTCTTCTTTTCGCTGCTGTTTCTCAAAGACCTCATCAGGTGTTCATGCTTCTGCTCATTCCTCCACATCACCTCCTTCATCTGCTTCACCCCATACAAAGCTCTCCTTACCTCCTCATCCACAAGCTTCTCACCACCCAGTGACAACTCTGAGAAAACAAAAGGAAACTGAATGCATTTTAGTCTACACATAAACACACTATTAAACCCTAAAAGTTTAATATTAAGAACAAGAAACACATTTCCTTCAAAGTCACTTACAAATATTTCTGAACAAAAGAATAATTAGATGAACCAAATCTACTTGGAAGTGTCTGTTCTGCAAACTCACGTTTTAAAGTGTCCTCTGAGATGCCTTCACCTTGATCCGTAGGTACAGAATCGAGGAGACCCAGCGTCACCAACAAAAGTGTTAAACCCAGCAGGAAGTTCATTTTGGAGCTCTGTCACAGCGACTAATAAAAAGTCTGACAGGATATACCAAGTGTGATTTAGGGTTTACGTATGAAACCGACTCACATTTAGACACTGAGATTTAAACACAATTAGAGCCTATCTGTGCATAAACTTTAAGATTGTTATCAAAGAGATCGTTTTGCAAAGATGAGTAAGCAAATCATGGCATCATGGTGACCTCTCTTTTAAGGTCACTAGATTAATATGCAAATAATGCTACACATAGTTACTTCAAATGTCAGTTTTGAGACTGACAAGAACTTTTTGAGTACAGCTAAATCTTATTTTTTATGTACATTACAATTACAAGTTATAATACTTTAAATTGATAACAACTTTAATACAAATAGCATGTTCATGAGTATTTTAAAACCTTTTTAACTTGATATTTATCCCTAAACATTTAAACATTCCATTGTTTTAATAGTCAATGAAATGAATGCCACATGTGAACTATATGCACAAAAATAAAAAATACTCAAAATAACAATTATACTCAAAATTATGTCAAGTATATTAAGATGGTGAACACCTGCACTTTGCACTTGGCTTTACTGCACTACAAACTTCTAAAAAGGACGATGAAAATAACATGAATATATAAAGAATATACTTATTTCCCTTTAAATGTAACTACTCCCCAGAGAGTGAGCTGCCGAGGCGGAGGTTTGTGCTCTCTGGAGTTTTTTCTTAGGCTTTCTTTTCTTTGCTTTCAAATCTAACAATTTGACTTATTTGTGCTTGCATACACAAATCCATCTTTATCCATTTTCAAGAAAACAATAAGTGCTATCTAGTCAGCCACAAAAGCGACAGGATTTAAGGGTGAGTGTGAGCCTGATTTAACGTGGTCATATAGAAGTCTCCCACTTGGTGGCGCTACACAGCCACTAGGCGCTGAAAAATCCGGATGATCTTATATCGTCGTGTTGGTGTTGATCCTGGAACAACATAGTAAATGTTGTTCCAGGATCAACATTGCAAGTGACCAATCACATTCTTCTGACGTTATTCTTTGGCGCACCAAGCCATTCGTGCATTTATGAAATTCCAGTGTTGCAAGGACAATATCAATTCTGCTTAGCGTTTATTAAAGGGTTGGGGTTAGGGTCAGGGTCAGATCGTGCGAAAAATCCCACCTCTCTCATACTTACTTCTCAGTTACCATATTTGTTTACATTTCACCAATAGTTTCCTGCACAGAATAGTGATCACTATACTTTACTGCATTTAAACAAATTTAACTTATATTGTTTAGAGCAATGGTGTAGCCTGTTATGACTCTATGAGGAGGCTTTGCCCTTTTTCTTTTCTTATCTTTTTATTCATTTGGCTGACTGAGTTTAGTTTTTACTTTAAGCAGCACCAGTGTGAGGTCAGCAGCAGGCGGTGATCACCAAGCAAAAGGCACCGTAGGGTCAAATTCAGCTCAAAAATTTTGCAAGCTGTGTTTCCGACAGGGACATCTGCTGTGTCAGGAGGTTAAGCTCCATAAAATCACAAGGATACACAAAAGAGGAAACTTTAAAAATACATTTTTGAATTGTTTTGAGTTGGGTTGCCAGTTTGGTAACAATTAAATCATCTGCCTGAATTTTCTAGAGCCTGTGCCTCAATTATAAGCCTCGTGAGTTACACAATTTGGCATGCAGCAGGGATTTACAGTAAACAGGGATGAACTTTTTAGGGATGTGCTAAAAACAGCTTCTCTATTCTATTTTACTGTCTCCAGTTTTTATTAAAATATGTTTAAACTGATTCAACTATAACCCAATAACAGACTCCTGTCTTTTCCTTGGCGTATCTCACTTTTTGCCCTTTGCCAGCTGACATCCAGGATGAGTGGGTAAAAAAAAGGGGGAAGAATGGTGTAATTTTTTTTTTAACATGATTTCATTATTTATGGTTATGGTTATGAATTTAGGTTAATTTTTAAATACAGCTGCTGAATATTTGAATTTTATTTATGGCAATAATTAAAGTATCTATCTATCTACAACTGTTGCTGTGCCATCACAGCTCATGGAAAATTTCCGACTTCACTTAGAAAAAGCGTTAATGATAAAAGTTAGCTGAAGAAGTGTTGATTAACTAAAAGACAAACATAACAACAACAGAGCAATTACATGAGGCACAACTCACCAGCAGCAGACTGAAGGTGCTTCTCTGTCGACCGAAATAAACAAAGTGCTCGGTGTGGACAGATCTCGTCAGGATATCTTGACCTGACGAGATCTGTTGGTAATCTTTCCACTTCAGCTTTATCCTATTACTGTCCTTGCTTGAGGTTGATGCCCGTTAATCCAGCAGTCGTCACACTGACTGAGTGGTTTGTTTTGGACAAGAGACTGCTTAGTCACATCAAACGTACTGTTGACAACCAGAAAAATGTATTTATTTCAAATGTTGTAATGGGGTATCGGCACATGTCAGACAAGACATCAGAGGCCAGAAGTCTTGTACGTGCACATTAGAGGCTGAAAGGTTTGAGCGAGGTTTACTCTGTGGCTGGCTTTTATATGAGGTGTAGAGAAGATGTCCCTGAAGGGATTCAAGTTAAATAACCACAAAAGAGTCAAAATGTCTCAGAATCAACAGCAAATTCTGATTACATCTGCCAGCAGCTGTACATCTGTGTAAAGGCTTTTGGAAATGTTTGCTGCACACACAAATATTAATGTTAAATTAACCATTAACCAGTCAACCAAGCACACATGGTTGTCTCAGTCCTGTTCACTCACACACACACACACACACACACACACACACACACACACACACACACACACACACACACACACACACACAGTGAGCTGAGCTTTACACGTTATTCTTTCTGTTGTTAAGCTTGTTTTGGGTTTTTTTTAACCTGAGCCGGACTGATCTCATAACCTATACTGGCACAGGTGAAAGAGGTGAATAGTACACTCTGTTATATATTATATGAATAGAAGCCAGTCCAGCCTATTTTTTAGTAAAGGGACACATTCCTCTCAGCAGAAAGCTGTTTCCATTAAAAGTTTTCATTCTTGGTCAAATGCGAGGGATTCTCTCACTGCTGCTCCCATCATTCTCAAAAATGTGCCCTCTTTGCATGGTGTGACCCAGATAATAGAGTCCTTATGGATAATAATCAAAAACAGCCAGTGCTTCAGCCTCACTGACACCTTCTGCACCTGGTTCCTATAACACTGCAGGGCAAACCCGTTCCTCCCATGTCCTTCCATGGCTCAGCTCAACATAAAACAGTTGAATGTATAAAATGGCACTTGGCTGTGTAAGATTTCAAGCACACAATTACTCATTGAGAAATTCAGGTCAATTTTATTTATATAGCGCCAAATCACAACAACAGTTGCCTCAAGGCTCTTTATATTGTAAGGTAGACTTTACAATAATACATACAGATAAAAACCCAACAATCATATGACCCCCTATGAGCAAGCACTGTGGCGACAGTGGGAAGGAAAAACTCCCTTTTAACAGGAAGAAACCTCCGGCAGAACCAGGCTCAGGGAGGGGTGGGAGAAGGAAGACATGCTGTGGAAGACAGACAGAGATTAATAACAGGTATGATTCAATGCAGAGAGGTCTATTAACACATAGTGAGTGAGAAAGGTGGCTGAAGAAGAAATACTTAATGCATCATGGGAATCACGTAGCAACCTACACCTATTGCAGCATAACTAAGGGAGGATTCAGGGTCACCTGGTCCAGCCCTAACTATATGCTTTAGCAAAAAGGAAAGTTTTAAGCCTAATCTTAAAAGTAGAGATAATGTCTGTCTCCCGAATCCAAACTGGAAGCTGGTTCCACAGAAGAAGAAGGCCTGAAAACTGAAGGCTCTGCCTCCCACTCTATTTTTTAAATACTCTAGGAACAACAAGTAAGCCTGTAGTGTGAAAGTGAAGTGCTTTAATAGGGTAATATGGTACTACAAGGTCATTAAGGTAAGATGGGACCTGATTATTTAAGACCTTGTATGTGAGGAGCAGGATTTTGAATTCAATTTTGGATTTAACAGGGAGCCAATGAAGGGAAGCCAAAACAGGAGAAATATGCTCTTTCTTTCTAGTTCCTGTCAGTATTCTTGCTGCAGCATTTTGGATTAACTGAAGGCTTTTCTGGGAGGTTTTTGGACATCCTGATAATAATCAATTACACAAATAGTGCTGGGTGTGTGTGTCATGTTTAATATTGTGGCACTGATCAAAGTCTGAAGTCCTGGGTTGAAGACATAAGCAGAGAACTGAATTATAATGAATGAAACTGTTAAAAACTGTTAAAAACTGTGCCACTCCTGTCAGCTAAGAACAGAAAACTGAGGCTACAATTCACACTAGGAACTCATAAGGATCCTTGCAAAACAGGTAAAACCCATTGATAAATTCTCTTGATTACAGCCTGTTTACAAAGAGGAGCAGGGATATTAGACATGAAAACAGATACAAACATTGGAAGTGACTTTTTGGCATGACACCTGCATTAGCAGCATGCACCTAATAAAATGTGTGTGACTGTATTTATTCATCTGATAACCCCTTTATTCAATATTTGCATCTTTTTCCATTTTATTGAGCAGTTATTTATACAGACCAAAAGAGAATCAAAAGAAGTGTGGAGCACTATTGTACTCAGATCCTCAAATGAATACCAGAGCTCCTCATGTATTCTGGACGCCCTAACACCTCGTGATAATTAGCTCCCCAAGCGACCAAAAGAGAAAAAAAATCTTCTCCAATTTCTTCACATTTTTAACTGCGCATATTTAAACAACTGGAGCTCCTCTTAAAAAAGTAATAATAATAAGAATGATGACGTAAAAATAAAACTATAATATGGAAAATCTGAAAATAAAATAGAAGTCTTCTACCTTTTATTTTATTTATTTATGTATTTATTTAGTTAGTTTGCCATGAGACAAACATTTCAGTCCACTCTGAGTTCTTCTTCGGTTTTGTGTTTTCGGACATAAAAACTGAACCAATAACGGGGAACACAACATTTGGAATCACTATAATTCAGAATCATTCTCCCATATTAAGACTGGGGAAATCAAAATGAACCGCACAATGGCAGCTGTGCGCTGTGTGTGTATGTGCAAACACCCTCTGCAGACGGTGCGCACAGATGTGAGGAACACGTGGTTTCTCCAAGCAGCCACTTCCTCTCACGTATGGATTCCTTCACTTTGGAGTTTCTCCTGTTACTCTTGCGGGTGTGACTGGAGCGCTCATGACTCGGATACACCCTCAAACTCAGCATCCCTTCCAACAACCACATAACTATTTTACATTTTTCCTCCCTACTTTTTTAGAACTTCTTCTTCCATTTCTTATTTTTAGCAAAGTGCGTCCTTTTTATGCAGCACTAAAGTTACCTGCGCTGAAGGAGGTCTAGCTTAAAGAGCTGCGGATGGAGCTTTGAAATCTTATTATTGTTATTATTATTCTTTTTAATAACCTATCAACACGCTAAGGAAACCGGGAAAGCCCACGGATTCAAGGTGCCTTGGCGCATAACGGGAGGTTTCGGGCAAATGCCACTGCGATGCTGTGGATGTGACTTCAAACAGCAGCTTCACAACGGTATAGTCCTGTAAACCACAATGAAAGGTAAGCTCAGTCTGGGGACAAAAGTTTTAAAATGATGGAAAATATCTAAATAGCAAACTTCGGTCTACTTTCTGTTTACCCCACATTCCTCTCGCGCTTTTTTGTCACACTTTTCTGCGCGCGCTCTCTCTCTCTCAGTCTGGGGCATGAGGAATGCGTAGGCTACAACTGGCGTCTAACATCTGGAATCAATTAAGGCACTCTGTTTGGGATTGTTTTGCATCTGTCCACTGCTGCACATCAAACACTAACCCGTGTTAGGAGAACTTTTCAAAACTTAGGAAAAAAATGAATCATGGTGCAGTGTGCGACTGCCTCGGGAGGGAGAACGTGTTGTTTTAAATCAAGGTTTAGATAAAGATTTCCCAGATGCGATTCTCATGTATTGCCCTGGTGTTTTGGACTAAATTAAGCTCCTCCATGTCAGTCTCTGAGGTCCAAGCTTTATAGGTCAGTAAGCTGTTTCCCTCTTACAAATAAAAAACACTGGTTACTGCCATCTTGTGGTCTCTCTTAGAGAGCTTCACATTTTGACCACATTTTTGATCATCTCTGGGATTTCACATTATTTCCGCCCAGCAGAATGACAGACATTGCCCTTATACTTTCAATTTCTGATATTCCTGATTTTAGAAAAACAAATATAATAATAATAATAATAATAATAATAATGAAAGGGAATGATTTATGGCCTGACCATCAAATTAAAGAATTCAGAAATTATGGCACTGCATAACCTCAATGCAAAAACAAAAAAAACCGCAAATCATATAAAATCCATTAAGGCAGGTAAATACTTGCTAGGATCAGACTCTACAGAGTCCATACTCTGTAGAAATAGAGGAAGTGCATTCTGCAATCTGGGCGCAACAGCTTGGAAGGCTCCTCTCGAGTTCTGAAACGGGTGTGGGGGACCACTAGAAGGTTTTGATTCTTGGCCCTTTCTTGTTTAGACAAGTAAACAGACGATTACAGTAGTCCAGTCTTGTAGAAAGAAAAGCATGAATTATCATCTCAGGTTCACTTGTTGACTCAATTAATCTAAGTTTTGAGATGTTTCTCAAATCACAAAAACAGGTTCTTACTATCCATTTTAAGTGTCACTCCAAGGAAAAAGCTTGACCAAGAATAAAACCTAAATTTGGAGACCTTGGAGAGTTTGTGACCTTCAGAAGGCTTAAATGAGCAGTATAGCAGAATATCACCAGCAAAAGATGATAAGAAACATCAAGAAACTGCTGTGTTATCTGGCCTAAAGGAAGAATGTACATCAAAAACAGAATAGGCCCCAGCACAGAGCCTTAAGGAACTCCACTCTACTGAATCCTACTGCTTATTTTTATATAGATATAGAGACATGGAAGTGCATTTTTTTTTAATCTAATCTTACAGATACTGCACATTGCTAATACAAGCAGAGATTTTAACAGGATAAATATCAGTATTTTTACACTGTTTATCTGTATGTATTGTTACTGCTTTCATTTAAAATTTGAATATAAATGTGAAGGGACGTCTTAATACAGAAGATAATTAAAGGCAAATAAATACTTATAGAAGGCAAACACAAAGAGACACTGGACTGCTGTAGGATTCAAGTTTTAAAATACTGATGTTGATGGGGCCAATATATTGGGCGATATTAGCTGTTTTTCAATATACTGGTATCAGCATTTAAAGAAGAGATCGAAGAAACACCCTTCAATTGTGTTATGATTGTTAATGCAACTTCTCTGTTGTCAACACTTTTGGAATGCTAGCTGATCCAAGCAAAGTCAGGCGGCGCAGAAACAAGTAATCCACCACTTAATGTGACAATAAAGCACATTATTTTTCTTTGTATTATCTTAGTAAGGACTCATAAATATCTATATATAACAAATGTTATTGAAATCTGGCAATGTTTCATCTGTCTGGTAGAAAAAAAATATCAGCCAACATATATGTCAGAGTTTTAAATCAGTAAATATCAGTAACGGTGTGAAAAATCTTATATTATTATTATTATTATTATCATTGTTATATATTTTAAACTTTCTTTTCCATGCAGGACTTTGTTTATATCAGAGAGACAGATGGCCTAACCTTCCAAAATGGACAAATTGTGTCCTCTCAGTATTATGTAACTATTAGTCTCACTAGTATCTGCTTCTGGAATGTTAAACAATCTTTCTTAAGTATCCTGGCCCCATGCAGCAGTGCGCATCGCCAAATCCAAATAACACTCACTTTGACTTGCGCTTTTTTCAGGTCAGCCCTTCGGGTAAAATTCCATTTCCCAAAAATGACTTTTCAGCAGCTCCAGACTTACACTGATACAACTATTGTAATGGGATGTTTTCATGTTACTTGGAAACATAAACAGGAAAGAGGTTGTTGGGGGTGTAGGGATAGGGAAACACAAATTGTAAGATTGGTTTAGTATGTTTTACAACACTTTAGATTGTTCTGGTCACCTCTTAGCTCCATCTGCTCTCTGTCCATGGGGTCTGCTAAAAGGTCAGAGTCATTTATTTCAGTACTAGACCTTGGAAAGAGGCAGCTTCCCATCACACATTTCTTACTTCTCCCGTTTCCAGCTGAAGAAGCACTGATAGAAAAGAGTCACTGCTCTAGTCTTCAGACATTTATTGCCCCTTTTAAGGTTATATAGATGAAAAAGGGGGTTTTTGTCATAAGATTATTGGGACATGTTTTGTTTCTTTATTTTCATGGGTTAGAGTTGTTCCCACAGACATGGGAAAATAATCCCACACAGTGGTTTTGGGGTTCAATCCTGTCAAGGTTGGACATGTTGATAGTCTGATTTAGACGATCTCAGTTGGACAAATTTTGGACATGTTTTTAAAATGTTTAAGGCAGATTCAGTGGGCAACAAATAACATTTCCTATATGATTTTCTTACAGTACTCATTGAGAGAGACATGGTTTTAAATATCCTCTACAAAGGAAAATTTTGATTTAAATTGACTGGAGAAGTCTGTTCTTTATTAAACTGTAATTTGTGTAGAAAACAAAAGCTAATCTTAGGGTTTCAGTAATGTTTCAATCTCTTCATCAACAGGCACAGTTTACAGTATATTCAAGCTCACATCTCTTTATTTCTGTCTGACTGAATTTAACATTCTATTGGTATTTGGTTTCTTTTTGTTTACTTTCCATTAAATTTTATCCCTTTTACTGTTCTCCTTCCAGACGACTTTGCTGATGAGGAGGAGGTGCAGTCCTTTGGTTATAAAAGGTTTGGTAAGTATAAAGTGACTTCTGGAACCATCTGCTGTGACCACCTTAACTGGTTCATATTTCTTATGACACATCAGTGATTTTGCACACTTTTTTGTGTGTGTCTTGGCTGTAGCCCATCTGCAATAATCCTTGAGGTTAAATGCAGACTGCAACTCATTTCCGAGAAAGGTACTTATTTTTGGCTGTAGCTTTCTTTTTTATTTTATTTCTTTGTTATAACAGAAAAGGATTACAGTGGAACGAGAAACCACAATATCCTGGGTGTTCCTGACTAGCTGATAACTTTGCAGTTTTATCAGCACATGTGTACTTCTGTTAAACCCTGGGCTATATAAAACATAAAAACTGCCTCCCACTGGATCTGTTCTTGGTATGTATTTGGGTCTTATGCAGACAGGTTTGTTGACTTACCCACTCATCAGGTAATATATATATATATATACCTCAAAACAGATGTTGTTAACATCCTAGATGTATGGCTATATTGATATCAGCCATTGGCTTGTGACATATGCAGAATCTGTAGGCAACAGGAAAGATTTCTGATATGTAAAGTGGATCTGAGAGTCCACAAACACTACATAAGATTTTCTTTTACAGAGGAGGTACCCATTGTTGGATGAAAAATGTACATTTCAGACATTTCTGTACTGGCTTTAATTTTCAGACACCATGTGTGGTGCTTAAATGGAATGCAGCTTCCTGCAATTCCCATAAATGCCCAATAAAAACAGATCAAATTTTATCCCTTTAATATTTGAGTGTTACAGAGTCCTTAGTGTTTATGCAGCCTAAATGCAGTAGGTGAAATACCTACCTTAAATAAGTTAAAGTCAGTTTAAATTTTATGTGTAGAGATCCAATTTGCAGCAACAGTCTTCTAATTTTAGGTAAAGAACCTACAATTAGAAAGAAACAACTCTACAAGCAAGCATTTAGTGACAGTGGGAAGAAAGAACTCCCTTTTAACAGGAAGAGACCTACAGCACAGCTAGACTTCTGTGTGGGGGAAGCTGTCTAACATGAAAGTTTGGAAGGAGAAGAGAAAAAGGACAGCATAGGGAGAACTTTTGGAGAAAGAAGACAAGTCAGTGACACACAATATTAGCTTGTAATTGCATTATTGGTGAAAATAGGTGAGTGAAGAGGAAGAGCTCAGTTAATTATAGGAAGTCCCCCAGCAGCCTGAGCCTATAACAGCATAGTTAGGTGATGGTTCAGGACCACCTGATCCAGCCTCGACTATAAGTTTAATCAAAAAGGAAAGGCTTAAGTCCAGTCTTAAAACTAGAGAGGGTGTCTTTGTCCTGAATCCAAACTGAGAGCTTGTTCGATGGGGGAAGGGCCCTTAAAGCTGAAGGCTCTGCCTCCTGTTCTTCTCTTGGAAGCTCTAAGAACCACAAGTAAGCCTGCAGTCTGAGAATGAAGTGATGTATTGGGAGAATATGAGGTCTCTAAGATATGATGAAGCTTGATTATTCAGGACTTTTTATATGGAAAGAATCATTTTAAATTTAGTTCTGGTTTTAATCAGGAAGAGAAGCTAATGTAGGAGAAATATGTTCTCTCTTCCTGGTTCCTGTTTGTACTCTTGTTGCAGCATTTTGGATAACAATGTATCTCATGTACAAGACGTTCCAAATGTTGTTTATTTTTACAAGTAGCTTTTGTTTATTTTCTAGGCTGTCTATTACTGTATGTGCGTTAAACATGAATGCATGTGCTGATCCAACTCTTCTTACAAGAATAGGGCAGTTTGCATTTCTTTGCTTCCAAACCAAACATCGTTGTTGCTATGAATGTGTTTTTGTGTCATTCAGACAATATATATGTTGCCTATTATTTATTCAGACCATCTGCACTTTTTACTGAGCTGTTTGACCTCTGGTTTCTAAACAGATCACATAAGCGATAAGGGAAGTTGTATACCTAAATTGTATTTTTTCAAGTAGTTGCTGGACTTGAAACCTATCAAAACTGCTCTTTGGCACAGATTCTGTACAAGAAACACAATCCCTCCCTCCCCAGCAATATTAGTTTTTGATTGGCAGGGAGAAATGTGTTTCATGTTGCTCTCAGACCTTCAAAACATATTCACTCGGCACGTCATTTCTATATTTTTCATACTAAAACTAGTCATTTAGGTCCTCAGTCTTATAGGGAAGCATCAGCATTTCTTGTTTGTCCACTCAAGATGTAGTTTGATGTTTCGATATAAACAGTCACATACTATGAGCAGATTGATATTGTGCTCACGTCTTTGCATAAAACAGGGAGCTAGAAGCCATGAAGACGGGAAGCTTAGAAAAACATGTAGCCTGCATAGTTTATACATCCACCCTGCATTTCAGGGATTTTCTCCAACAAAAAATGTTAAACTGTACCTTTAACTTGTCTCCTACACTTATACATTAGCAAAAAATGGTATGTTGCCCTGCGTCTCCTATGTCTTCTTTTAATGACAGGAAAGATGGTGTTGACTCATTCTGACATTTACTTTTCACAAGTGGTCTGTTTTCCCACTAAGAGTACGTTCAAACCTGAGAAGTTGCTGAGCTGCTTCCTGTGTCCATACTGGAGGTTTATTCATTGCCGGCCCGTACTCCAAAAAAGAAAATGAGACAGAGGTGGAGTGTGGGTTTCAGGTCTGGCCTGTGCTGTGTCAGCAAAATGCCAAAGGAGAGAGAGGGAAGAGGGAAGTGGAAAAATCTATTTTTTATTTTATTTTAAAATGCTTCCTTTATCTTAGCATCACTCAGTGCCCAGTGGTTGTTTTTGCAGTTTGTAATCTGCATTTATTTTTGACTAATTCCACAGGGAAACATTTTTCCATTGTTTTGTTTTTGGGTTATTGGTTTTTTTGTTTTTTGTTTCTTTTTTTTTCTTTTTTCTTTTTGGAGCTGATGAGTCACGTTCTTTGCTTGACTTATTTTTGGGAACAAGTGGTTTTAATTTATGCAGAGTTTATTACAAGAAAAGAATGCTTTCTAAATGCCTCCTTGTTACTTGCACCCCACTTCCAGAACACGCATGCATGCACTTTATGTTCCGTTGTCGTAATGAAAAAACAAAAAAAAAAACTCTTTCTCACACACAGAGAAGATAAGTTAATCCTCGATTGACCAGTGATAGTCTGGCAGGAATGGACTTATGGTAAATGGTAAAGCATGCCACAAGAGCTTCTGTTCAGAGCATCAAAGAGGGACAGTCGCAGGGCAGCTGAACAGACCCAAGGAGATTAGATTTAACAAGGTGCTGGAAACATTCCTCAGAGATTTTGATCCGCGATGATATGATAGCATCACACAGTTGCTGCAGATTTACATGAGTCAAATCTCACATTCCACCACATCTCAAAGATGCTCTATTGGATTCAGATGTGGTGAGTAGGGAGGCCATTTGAGTACAATGAACTCATTGACATGTTCAAGAAGCCAATTTGAGATGATTTGAGCTTTTTGACATAGCACGTAATTCTGCTTGAAGCAGCCAAGAGAGGATGGGTACACTGTGGTCATAAAGGGATAGAGTTAGACTGTTGCATGTAAGCATTGCCCCAAAGTGTGCCAAAAAAATCTGTGACAGTATTACACCATCTCCAGGATTATACTATCTCCGGGGGGGTTAAACCATAAATACAAGGAAGGATGGATCCATGCTCTCTTGTTCTTTATTTAAAATGTTGCAAGAAAAATTTAGGCTCTTTAGACCAGTTAATTATGCAGTTTTGGTGAGCACAAATTGGGAATGGGAACTGTAGTCTCAGTTTCCTGTTCACTGTTTTGTTTATGTGTACTGACCACGTAAGATCCTCAGCCAGATGTACACCAAGGAACCGGAAGCTGCTCACTCTCTCCACAGCAGCGCCGTTGATGGTGATGGGGGTGTGTACTTCTCTGCACCTCCGGAAGTCCACTATCAACTCCTTTGTCTTTGCGATGTTGAGGGTGAGATGGTTGTCTTGACACCAGTGGGTCAGGGCGCTGACCTCCTCCCTGTAGGCTGTCTCATCACCTTTGGTGATAAGACCCACCACTGTAGTGTCATCCGCAAACTTCACAATGATGTTGGAGCTGTTAGTGGCTGTGCAGTCGTAGGTGTAGAGTGAGTACAAGAGAGGGCTCAGTACACACCCCTGTGGAGCACCAGTGTTCAGTGTGATGGGGGATGAGGTGATGCTGCCTGGTCTGACCACTTGGCGTCTGTCAGACAGGAAGTTAAGGATCCAGCTGTGTTTTAAAGGGGTACATGCTGGAGCAGTAACACAATTTAAAAGCAAAAACAGGAAATAACTGACTTCGGTAAGATTCCTATACGCTGATTTCCTTCAAGAACTGGATATTTTCTCCTGTTTTTAACAATTCCTTCTAAACCCTCAAGATTGTTGTGAGGAAAATTCGCAGTAGATTAACAGTTTCTGAAATACTCAAAACAGCCCGTCTGGCACCAACAGCCATGACATGTTCAGAGTCACGTAAATTCACCTTTGTTCCCCATGCTCAGTTTGAACTTCAGCAGGTCGTCTTGACCATGTCTGCATGGCTAAATGCATTGAGTGGCTGCCATGTGACTGGCTGATTAGATATTTGTGTTATCATTTACTGTAAACCAGACATTAAATGCAAAGTTGTTTGTGGTACATCCGCTAATGTTGGTCTTTGATGCTCACATTATCAGTGCAGTAGTTATTCACACATCATTTGTCTCAATCTACAGGGTTCCTCTAAAAAAAACCTTTATCTATTTATTCTTTTTTCTGGGTTGTGAGTGACTTTAGTGTGTCATTATGTGCGTCAGAGGCCACTGTCCCCATGCATGTTGTATTCATTAAGGAATAGTACACGTAAGTTGTTGCCACGTTGTTTTTTCCACATTCTGCATAAAGATAAACCTTTCTTGACTTCACCCTGCTTCCAACTGAGGGCCTCTTGCGTGTATAAGCAGTAGTAGCTTCAGCTGACCATAAATTGTTCCATCTTCAATGTTTGACTCCAAATTTG